GCCAATATACAGTGCTATGGAGAAAACAGCAATATATTCTAAGATTAGAAATATTTCTAATGCCTGAGCTGTTCATACCTATAGAAATGTCACAGTTCAATTCACTAATTAGAGGTTCATTATATTCTTTCTGCTAGATCAAAACAAGACACAATCAGTATGGGACCAGAATCTTTCCCCCCCAGCAAGACTCATGAGCTGCAACACTGTGCTCCAACACACACTTTCAGGATAGACTCCAAAATGTGTGCATGCTGCACATTTAGTTCTGAGATGTCATAGATTACAATTCCAAAATGTGAGTTCCAAACAAATGGTCAATCTCCCTCACAGCTGGCAATAAAAATTTAAAAAATCCAAGACACCAAACAAAAAAAGCCTAAAGAGGTCACCACATTTATAAAAATTACCTAACATGTCAGCTCAGCAACATTCCACTACATTCAAATGTTATTAAAAGAACCCAAAACAGCAGTAGTTACTTGGTATGGATATCACTTTTACTAGATTTACCTGGTTTGACCAGATTTTGTTTCTCTTAATCTAAATTACTATTTTAGCGTCATGCCCACGGAGGTACTAATCAAGCTCCTGTTTTAAAGGTACTTAAGAAATACCAAGACAAAGATTTTCTAGTTTTGTAAACAAATACATATAAATAAAAAGCAGAATATAAGACTAGAGATCAAGTACAACTGACACAAACACAGATGTAATGGCATTTCTCACATATTTTGGTCTCTCCCCTAAGCTGTTTAGATACCTCCAAGTAGATGACAATTGGAACATGCAGTATTTTTTTGCATCAAGCATTATTGCCATTTGCATCCTGTTAAGGACTCACAGCTACCCACAAAGTCTCCCTCAGAGACTAACTCCTCAGATGTAAGGAACCGCGCTGTCTGAGGGATGAATCTTACCCTGGACGTAGGTCTGGTGCTGACCCCAAACTGGCAGCTGCCAGCTCCCTAAAGGCACTAAGCTTCACCATAAACACAAGAGCTTTCTGGTCCAAAAGCAGAGCTTGCTTCTGTAACCCAGCATTCCAACCCACAACTACATAATAGGTTATTTCAAATAATTATAATCTACATACATAACTACTCCTGCAGCCTAGAAATAGCAGGAAGTGTTGCCTGGCAGGCTAGATCTTATTTCTTAGCTCAGATAGGCATGCAGAGGTTGCTGCTTCTCACCCTAAATAAAGCTTAGCTATTGGTAAAAAGAGAAATCTGTACCTTTGTATCATCCTGGGACAACTCATCAGAAGCCAAGTTCAGAGGACCTGCAAGAGCAAAGATTGCTGCCTTTCATAACAAGGAAATTCAGTCTGGGTCTGCTTCGGTTTCTGCTGCGGGTCTCTCTCCTTTTTCAGATAGGAAAGGGGACACAAGAAGCACGCAGGCAAGCCAGAACAATGGACATGGGCAGCCCATGCATCTCCCCGCAGCAGCGATCCCGTGGGCAGCATGCAAGCTGGATGCACAACAAGCGCTATTTTATTGTCACGGTTAAGTTTGGGCTGATTAACCCCCACACACTCAGAAAATCAACAGCTCCAGGACTGTGCCTCACACCAATGCCACAGAGCAGCTGAACTCTGCTTTTCTTCTGCAGGGATGTCATGCATTTTCTGAAATCAGACTTTGCATTTTTAACCCAAAAAGTAAAAAAATATCTTCACTTCACTGTCGCTCTTTTTTTTTGTTTGTTTGGGTTTTGGTTTATATTTTCTTCCAAGGGATGTGGAGAAGGAGACAGCAACACCAAAAAAAACACCTTCCACACTTTTCAAGTTTTGCACAAATGCAGCCTGAAGGACTACTGTGAAACAGCAAAGATACAGGAATGTAAATGAACACAAGCCTCATTCATGCATCCAGGAACATTATTGTTTAGCAAACATATTTTAAAATCAAATGATACTGAAATCATACAGATAGAGTCATCATGGTAGATATGCTTCATTTTATACTGCATCTTTCAACTCTAGGTTCATATCTGTTTTCAGAGTTCCTCGTCATTTCTCCAGCTCAAGCAAACAGTTAAACTAAGCATGCTTCAGCGGGCAGCATAGGGTGCCTTGAGGTATATGGAGGCTGGGGACCTTTACTGGCATTGAACAAAGTATACACTCAAGGTTTTTAAAAAAAAGAGTTCTATCAATACATCTGGGAAAAAACAATTCAAAGAATGCTGTCCATTACCTAAATCACACAAGTTCTGAGATGCAGTTATGTGCCCATTGCAAGCTGCTGTCCCTGACCTCGGCAGGGCACCTGGACCCTGGCAGGAGTTAGGACTGGGTCCATGCTGATCAGTACCACAGTGATTCATTTTGAATTAATCCACCCTCTTCAATTAAACTCCTGCAGCACTCATGAATATATCTCCCCTTGGATTCTAATACAGCACAACCACAGAACACAGAATCCCTGGTGCTGTCAAACTAAACATTCCAGACACCACCTTTCAGCTAGTAGGAACAGACTATTTCTTCTGTAAGTGCAGACACCTACTTTAAAGTTTCCATGAGAAGATTTTTCTCCATTATTGACATGCACTTGTCATTATTATTATTATTATTATTATTATTCAGTTCCACAATTGTCAGAAATAAAAAGCCATTTTCTCTATACAATATATACTGTAGCAACAATTGGCTTATATTCTTAGTAACAGTGTTCAGTCAACTCACAGCCACGGAATTTCAAACTCAGAAAAGAGAAAAGAAAAGCACAAAGTACAAATTTAGCCAAAATACCACCTACTTCACTTTTTGTTCTGCATCCTGTCAGGAGAATGTATCGCTCCATATATTTGAATTTAAGTTGCTATTGGAGATCAAGATAGCAGCATCACCTTACACTGACCCACTGCTTTCATATGATGGCATTTCACAAGAAATGGAGGAGGTTGGCTATATCAGCCTCCTCTCATTAACAGCTGAGGGGTTCTGATAGCATGGGGTTTTAAAGGCCTGCTGATCTTGACTTTAGGAGCGAGTAGCTACTCCTTCTTGGAACAGCAGCAGTTTTAAAATCTGAGGGGGATACTTTCATGACATGAGTCTGCCAAAATAAAATCCTGAATTTAGCAGACATTTTATAAAGGAGTTCAGTGCATGCAACTCAGAAAGTAGTAAAAAAGCACAATAATTTCATATAATTTTGCTTCCAGCAGCAACAATTTTAACTCAATCTGAAACAAAGTTCTTTTGATCTCCTGAGTGCTGGCAAATGGAAATTTTAAGACAAGTCACTAGTCACCAGTAACCACCATTCAGTGATTTTTAATTTTTTTTACTTGGTGGTTAGAAAACAATCTGCCTTGCAGAAATATGGTAACCGATTAAATATTAAAATACCAGAAGATGAAAAAACTTTGTTGACTAACACCATACAAACAGTAGTTATAGACTTCTCCTGTCTACAAGTAGGTATCACAGAGCATAGAACATGCAACATATTTACTACAATCTGTTTGTGTTGGTCCTGAATACTTACAAAATGTACTTACAATACTTACAAACTGCTTTTCAAGGTGTTGAAATGATTTTTTTTTTTAAACATGTGCAAAGTAACTCTGATGCATGAAGGCACAAAAGTATACAGCTTCCACTGAAAACACATATAGCTATGCCAAATATCTCTGGTGCTTATCAGAATCCAAAATGGGAGTAGATGTCCTGAACTGGAGACTCTCTCGCTCTCTCTCTGGGCTATGAATACCCATTGATGTTTGCACTCTGCTTGTGCAAGTCAGACCAAGTTAAAGCTGCTTTTTGTGGAAAATATAGAAGTAATCACCACCTACAAGTCACACTGGTCAAGTGACTGCCACATATAGACTGCCAATGAAGGCCACTCACTTTCTATCCCCAAGCAGCAGCATAAAGACCACCCTGATCAGAGTAGAGTGCTCAGGTGAACACCCAGAGTAAATGCATTTTCACACTGCATCAGCAAGGTCATTCACAAAACCCATACAATAAATTCTCACTTGCACTCACAATAACAGATATGTAGCTTGTAACTGTTAACAACTGTTTATTATTTCTCTGCAAATTTAACTTTTAATGGCAGAATACTTGTTGCCTGAAGATGGACAGAAAAACTGGGTATAAAGCCATTTTTCAGCACTAGAAATGCCAGCATATACATTTAAATTCATGATTTTGTCCCTATTTTACCCATTCACTTGAAGTTACTTGCTGATGCCCCTCGAACTAGTCCCCGTCCTTTCTTTCCCTGCATCAGGTCCTGGTCCTGTCAGCAGTTTGTGCAGGTGCTCAGATTTCTGCTGCCCTCAAGGAAGGTTGATGGGTAACTGATAAAAACTTTTAATTCATTCCTAAGAATCATATATCCCCAAGCCTCATGCTTCTGATGCTGAAGAATGATACTTTTTTGTGATTTTCTCTTCAGCTCTAAGATCTGCTTGCTCTGAGGTACACAGGGAGGTATTTTGGTAATGAAAGAGCATTCTCACCCGCAAGAACAGTTCCACAATCCTTGCAGAGGTAAACTGCTCACCAAAATAGTGAACATCTAATGCAAACAAATGAGGATTTTGCCACATTAAGAAGTCTAGGCCGGATCCCAGAACTATCCGTACAAATCATTACTCTGCTCCTATCTTTATTAACTTATTAAGCTTTACTGGAATTTGCAGGAGAGTTCATTCAGTTAAACACTGCCCTCTCCTGGAATCACCTGACATTTTTCTAGCTCTTAAAATGGAATCAGTTAAGGCTTTTCCAGTCACTATAAACGTCATAATATTTTGTGAACAGTTTCAGTCTGACATTGGTAAACCAAGCTCGGTGGGGAGTATCATGATTTACAGAACTCTTGTAATGTATGACTTACCTATTCCACTGTTCTATACTAACAGGTCTCTAAAACCATATGAAACACAATCTTTCTGAATAAATAAATAATGTGCCAACTTTCTAGAGGTTTGAAAGATTGCAACATTATGGAATAAAAACACTGTACCTTCTACAAAGCGTGTTGTACTGCAGGGCATTTTTGGACCTTCCACTGTCTCAACTTCATTTGAATTAATACTCTATAAAAAAAAATCAAAATTACAGTAACTGTATTTGATGCCCATGACATTTATCTGAAAACTCAAGAACAGTATCGAAGACTGACAAACACTTATGTTATGAGCAATACTAAGATGACTGAGAGAAACTCCACAAAGAATATTTTATTGGCTACCTTCCAGAGGAAACTGACGGCAATCCCTCAAGAGGAAAACCAATAAAATATTTTTAACCACAGAGAGAAGTCACCTCCTGCTTACAATACATGAAAGATCTAAAGGAACAGATTTGCCATTTGCATTTCAGTGCTTACAGCCTTCTTCTCTATGAGAAAAGCAGCACAACAGCTTTGCACAACAGCTCCATTCAGAATTCTAGTTTACATTAAAAGCATCCTGTAAAGCAAGCAATTTTGAGGGATTGGTAATACAAAGAGAATAAACTGGGACTAAACACTAACTACATGACAGATCCAGTTGGGAGGCCAGGAGACATTCCACTCCCGGTGTCTGTAGCCTCTGGCCAGGCTGCGCCTCACTCAGATACACACCAACTCCTGCTCAAAAGGAAGAGGGGGCTGCATACAGTCTCCTATTTTAGAAATTACTCTCAGAAATTAAAAACAAAGTGGGAGGAAGAAAGAATGGATTCTTTTGTGTCCTTTCATCTACTACTCTGCTTGCTTCTAGTCTTTCCCTCTAGTAGACTGTCTGTGTATTTGCCAACTACCAAGAGCTGCAAACAGAGAAAAGACATGGTAACCTGAACAAAAGAAAAAGCCAGGGATGCCCCTGGGCTGAATACTACAGCCAAACTAATTTGAAATCCATGAAGTCCCACCTCAGTGGGGCAAGTTACATTTCTCTCTGCTCATCTCTTGCTGTGCTAGGCAGTTTCCCACTTGGACACCTGTCAGGCAGAAAAAGTCAAAAGAAAATTGGGAAACTATTAAATCTGTCCATCACCAGGCAAAAAAAATTACTTAAATGACCATAAACTATCATAATCATTTTGGATGATTAGTCCGTTTTGCCAATTCTGGTTTTTTTTATTACTCTGACACGTTTCAAATGTATCCATCAGTCCCCAGATCTCACTTCCTCCCGCAGAGCCCTGCACTGGCTGTGCTGCCTGCCTCAGCTCAGACTGCCCGTGGATCACCTTCTCCTGCTGCCTAGGTCTCCACTGGAGGTGCACAAGGAACCAAACACATCGTCCCACTGGCAGGCACCACTACCACACAGCAATCTCTGCCCCAAGGAGGTCACACAGAATTTTGCAACTTCACATTCTTTTTCAGCAATTCCAGCTATCTCCCCCAACTCTGTTGCCTAGAGTGGCCACAGAGTTTCCACTTTTTGAACTGCTGAATGAAGGCGTGGCTCCCATACAAGTGACTTTAGCTTACTGGCAGCTTGTTTTAACTTCTCCATTACTGTTTTAACTGAAAGAACTGACACAGCAAAGAGCGAAGAATGTACTTGGGAAAGATTCATGCTTTTCTTGCATGAATAGATGTGCTGCTGTCTGAGGCAATCATCTCACACAAATCCAACACTACATGCCACCATAACTGAGACACAGCTCCCTTTCTTCAGCTCATGATTTTCTGACACAAGCATAAAGTAGCAATGTTGGTCATTGGTACAGTCTCAAGACACCAGATGTACAGCCTTAGTCTTCTATAGATTAAATGAATACTCTAGGACAGCAGTAAATTCTATTTCTATTTTTAAAAGACTATGTACTGTGAAATCTCTAATACCTACCCAATATTTATAATATCCTCCCAATGCTTTGGATACAACCAAAGAGCTCAAAATTCTTGTTTGCAACAGAAGGAAAATTAATTTTATCTTTGCTTTTGGACATAATACATAGTCTAAAACCAACAGCTTTTCTATAAGAAATTAACTAAATGAACCATGTGATCTTCCCAATTATTCTGGTCTATTCCTGCTTGATTCAAAGTGCTGCAACACTGATGCTAAGCAGGAGGGGGAATAAGGTCCCCACAACAGAACCTAGACTGCTGCAACTAGAGGAATGGCAAAAGGGAAACCAACAAATCCAGGGCAGTAGGCTCTTTCCTGAAAATACCAAATGCAGAATTTTCTAGCTTTTCAGGGTCTTTGAGACTATCTAACATGCCACACTTTCTTTTTCCATTTCAAAGACTGAATGCAAAACAAGGACTTTGTGAGTGCAAGAAAAAGGCAATCATATAAATAACAATGCGTTCTTGATTATAGTTTTGGTTTTCCTTTTGAGTTCATTATTGTTAATGGAAAAGCCACACACAAGTTGCAGGGATTCTGCAACTACAGAGAGTAACTTTTTTGTATGGAAACAAATCAAAATCTCAATAATGAAGTTATGTAAGAATATACATAAGGACTATTACAGTACGCCACGCCTTAAATTTCTGTATTAAACATAACATCTAAATAATTTTCTAAGTTTAAAAAAATGCAGCATGAAATAAAGGTAACACAAGGAAAATCAGTGCCCAAATGAGGAAACCCAAAGCTAAGAATGGAAAAGAAAAGCTGAATTTCAAGACCAGAAAAAAAGCCAACTTTTAGTGTGTTAACTAGTTTTATGTATGTTGTGCAGTGTCAATCTAAAAATACAGGTAAGCATTTGCATTGCTATTAAAGAACTTATACATTCAAGCATTCTCTTTATTTTACTGAATCAAGAGATGCCCCGAAGCATAAGTCAACAGTGCTTCAGACATTTTACATTAAAATAAGAAAAACTAAACTAAACTCCATAGAAAAAGTCTGTACTCTGTATTTCTGCGGAAAATAACAGACCAGGGTTGGCTCTTGATAAAGGCTCCCAGGCATTACACTACCGGAAGAATGGAACTAAATTAAATATTTCAAGTACAAACATGAATAAAATGGCAATGCAATTGAAGACACAGATTTCAGGGAAAGATACTCCCTTTAGAGTCCACCATGACTGAAAAACAACTTAGGAGGCAAAAGAGGCTTTTACAAAGTCCTCAATGCCTCTTATGCTCCAGCTTCAGACATACAAAGTGCTGCACCTACACAAAGTAGAATCCCAAACCAGTAATCATAAAGTTATACTGGCGATCAGTGACACGGCAGCTTAAATTTAAAGGCAATGCAAACAAATCCAGCCTGAAAAGTCTACAGCTGGAAACCATGAAGAAAATCCGTGTCACCTGGTAAAGAAGAGGTCTGTCCCAGAAGTATTTTCTGAAGAGCTTAATGTCTGACTGCAGCAAGTGCTGTGCAGTGCGACTGAACGTCAGCGCCAGAGCTCCAGATGAATGAACAAACTGTATGCAGGCACCCTCGCTGATCTCCGCTCTTGAAATGTCGAGCGACTGACTGCCCTGGAAGCTGAAATGACAAACCCTTTTAGCCACAGCAGATGCCCTCTGCACGGGCAGAATGAGAGCGCTGCCACAGGGAGCATCCGGCTCGCCTCCGGCACAGCCCGTCAGGACCCCAACACACCCTCCGCAAAAACCAGAGTCAGAAAATCTGAAACAGCCACTGAAAACACAGCTGGGCAAACAAAAACGTACCAATGACTCTTTTCAGCCTTAAGAACACAGAGCTACTTCTAGCTATCAACTGGGAAAAAACAATGTTAGCTCTAGACAGTTACTACTTAAAGAAGCCGGAACGAACAAGCTGTGACAATACCTATTTCTCCTTATTGCTGTAAACGAGCAAAAATGTACCTTTTCCTGTCAATGTTGCCATATATAGCAGTAGAACACAACTGGCAGCTAGCAGATTTATTATCCCACAAGAGTGAAAAACAGAAAGTATCTCAAGGGAATACAACATTGTTTGGAACATAACAAGTAAATGAGACAGTCATAACATAATGTACTTTTTTTTAAGCTGAAGTACAGATAAGTCTCACATAAACTACAGGCTGCATGGAGCCAAACTGAAAGAACCACATACCAAAATAAAAATGCACCCTAATTCTCGTGTGTTTCTATTTGCAAAGAAAAGCCAAGAGTAAGAAGGGGTGTCTGATGCTTACCATTTGGTATCCCAAGACACCCCATGCAGCTCCTCAGGACTGTACAGACAGAGCTCCAGACAGCTGAAAGGTGCCAGAAAGCACTTGTCTTTTGAGTTATTTGTCAGTGTGGCAGCTCTCTGGCAAAACAGAGTCATAACTGCAGCACTGTCTTCATTGCTAATTCTCCCTTATTTGTTGTCCAAACTTGAACTTTCCTATGGTTCTGTTTGTACACAAATATTTCTTTATATATATTTTAAGAAAGGTCTTTACATGTTTTTAGTGTGTCAGGATTCAGCTGATACAGTGCTGAGAGAGGTACCTGATGGTGCAGCTGGTCCTCTATCATTTAACTATTAATTGACTTCAAATGTAATGAAGGACACAAATAATAAACTTCCTACAACTGTAAATGCAAATTTACCATTTAAAATTATAATACTGGCAAAAAGCAGCAGAAACCAGCACAAAATAGGCAACTCTCTCCAGATAAATAACAGTACTCCCCACATCCCTTAAATGACAAGACCATTTCATAGAAAAGAGCAAAGAAAGCATTATACACACTTTGTAAAGATCTCAACAAGTTTGGAGTGTCCAATCTGCAAAGCCAAATCTAAGGGTGCTGCTCCATCCTCATTAGGTAATGCTAAGGCTGATGACCCTCCAGGCTGGGCTGGCAAGAACAGGGAAAGCTTAACCAAGTCCAACTTCATCACAAGGTGGAGAAGAGTTTCTCTTTGTTCAGGCTCTTAAAAAGAAACACAGCAAGCAGATCAAAATCATCAGTAACAAACCCCAGCATTTTACTTGCTGGGAAGCATCAAAAGACATTTATTATCATCTGCAGAAATAATACAGCTCAAGTTCAGACCTACAAAATCCTTTTGGCAGAAGATTTTAGGCCTTCCACTGAAAACACCAGTTACCTACTGTGGTGGTTTGACCAGGAAGAAGTGGGAATTCTGGGAGGCTGTGGTCAAACCAATGGATGCTC